GAGTCTACGAGCAGAAGGGCATTCTGCTGCTGGGAGACACGGAACTCTGTTATCGAGACACGCTGCCGACGACCCGAGATTATGCTGCTAGTGACAAGACTTGGTGTTGGCCAAGACGAGATACCGACGACAGAGAACACGCTGCTGACGGGTACACAGAATAAAACACTGGTGTACAAGCAGAACTAGTCACAGTAAAGTACTATCTGCTGTCCTGCCTTCCCTTCCTGACACGTAACTGGGGGCATAACCGGCGTTGACATGGGAACACACAAGGTTATAACAATAACTATGGCCGCTTAGTCCCTTTTGGTGAGAACGGCTCTTAAAAGAGTCTTCGTCCATCGATCTAAGTACAGTGAAACTTCGGTTAACGAGTTTAATCCGTTCCGACACCGAATTCGTCATGTGAAACGCTGGTCTTGCGAAACGTGGCCAATCAAACGGCATCAGTTTACTGATTGGCTGCAGATGACCGAGGACACACGTCCTGGTAGCAACTCAACGGCAGACATGGGCACACACACACGCTGAAAAATCGTTAACTGAGCTGAAGCTCGTCAATCGAAACAAATTTTCTGCGTGTGACTCGTTTGTTACCCAAAATGCTCGTAGGTGGGGCCGCTCGTCACCCGAGGCTCCACTATACTAGGAATTCAGGCACGCAGCTGTCAGTCTCGTGGGTGGAGGGTGGAGTGGGGATGGGGAGGAGTATAAAGGCACATACCTCTTCGGCGACAGCCTTGCATACGTCATAGTCCTGAATATCTTCGTAGAATTTGGTCTCCTCTTCAAGCGCTGCTGACCAATAATCACCAAAAATTAGCGGATCCATGAGAGCATACGCAATATCGCCCGGGAAGTACTTGTCCATCGTTTCGTGTAGAATACCCTAAAAAAGATATGGAGTGTAGACTGGGTCACAAACTTTTGTTAGACAGAGATGCGGAAAGAACAGGTAAGTGATTCGTTTGGTCGTGGGTTGCATATTCCCCTGTCAATGGACAACTTTTTGAGCCTTTTCATGTTTTTGAGAACGAATGCGAAATCGCGTAATTTAGAGAGTAGGACAAAACAGCACTGACCGAGTTCCGCAGTATGACAGTTCAGCCGCCTCCGTTTCCGAAGATGTCCACCGTATGCCTCACAACGCAGGGACGGAGACTTTCGCCGCATCCTTTTTAATTGGGATACAATTTCGTCGTTGCATAAATTACTACTAACGTAGATGAGTAGTGTTCATGTTGTATGTACGGCTGTCATACTTGGGGCTTACATCCATTTTGTGCGAGCATTTAGTAAAGTTGATCATGAAACTTCGACGATGCCCGCCTTCCGCTGCACTACAGGGTGAGCACAGGGACGGCGAATTAAGCTTTTCTAGCGATAGTAGGCTTGCATAGCATCCACCACACTTTCCTCTCCGCACACACACACACACACACACACACACACGCACCTGGGCCCGGTGTCATGACAGAGTCAAGGAAATCAGAGGCGCGATCAGATCCAGGTGTCTCGCATGGCATGAACCCGTGCCTCGGCGTGATTGGACAACCAATCACAGGTGCCGTAAATTGTACCAATAGTCGATCCCTCACGTTGGCTAACATGTGCACATACCAAGGCCTATTTCACCAGGTCTGGTCAATCATCTCCTTGAGGTTGCCTCACGCAAAGGCCGCTTTGTAGGCGCTTGCGACGACCCCCCGCTCTGACACTTCGGAGGCCGGCCTCGCGGCTGGACGCAGGCCTGTCCGAGAGTCAACATC